GGTTTTCTTCCTCTTTGAGCCGTTGTCATAGGAACAAGTGAAATCAATCAGAAATGATTATTTATATGCAGGAAAATGCTCCACTACATTTTACATCAACATCTGAGTTATGACCTTTGTTGTGTTTTACTGTGGCTGAGTAGCTGTGGCAGCTATTATCATTATTTTGAATCCTGTTTGATTTAGTAAAATTGTCCAGCTTTATTCAAACAAGCTGCTAAAGAACAAGAGTGACCAGGTTTAGGCAGTGCTCAACAACACTTCTGATTGTTGTTCTTGTTGTTTCCACCTCAGAGCAGCAAAGAGGCCCTGTCAAACGTCAACGCCACAGGAGTGGCCATGCTGTTCTCTGCGGGCACCTTCCTGTACGTGGCAACCGTCCACGTCCTCCCGGAGGTGGGGGGCACYGGCCACAGCCACACTGCTGCAGGAGGGAACGGAGGCAAAGGACTGAGCAAGGTGGAGGTGGGAGCTCTGGTTCTGGGCTGCCTCATTCCTCTGGTGCTGTCCATCGGTCACCACCATTAGACCCACTGCTGCAGGTGGACAGGGAGGAGACACTCGTCTTATTGTCTGCAGCTGGACCTGATGGAGACAGAGCTCCTCACAGGCAGCTCAGCCTGGAAGCAGACTAAAGTGAGCAGTGAAACCAGAGCTGGGCCCACCTGGTGGTGTTTCCTCTGCTGACACTGATACACTCCAGCTGCTGCAGGACACATGTTCAGAGCTGCATCATCGTGCTCCTCTGCTCTGATTCCTCATGTTTGATTAGACGAGTTGGACAGCAGCTCCAGTCTTAACTTTGTCATGTTGTAGAAGAAAATCAACTTTATTTTTAAATTAAACCTGTAAATTTCTCAAATTGACTTTAAAGTGCCATATTAGCTCATGGAGAAGAGGACGAAGCAGAACAAGCTTGTTCTTGTTCTCACAGATCATCATGTTCCTGTAAAACACAAGAGAAGAACCTTTAGAACCTTTAGAACCTGAGCTCAGTGGAAGACAGAACTTTGTCACTTTTCTTTTCTTGGTTTACGTCTGCAGACACTTCTTCCTGTACTTTTAATGTGATGTTAGGTTACTGTGATGAACCTGAGTACCACCTGTAAATACCTGTTTGAGGTGAGGGCTTCTTTCAGAATGAAAGAACATGTTTGCCTTGCAGAGCTACATTAACTAGAACCTTTAGGGACCATCGGCTCAGGAGAACCAACAATATTGTGTGAGGATAACTTTTTTTTTTCATTTTATAAAGAATTCATTAATCAAAAACAGCAATAATAAAAAGGTCAAACTGGGGTAAAATCACTTTGTGCTCTACAAATCATGAAATCAAAAACCTGTGCAGTGCATCAAAAGTAAGTAAAGTTTTATTTATAAAGCAACTTTCATAGAAATATTCACAAGGTGCTGTACAATCATCAACAATGTAAAAATGGCAGAAAGATAAAATGAAAAAGAAACCTTTATGTTCAATATACAATAATACAAAAACAGAAGGGGGAAAGAGAAAATGATGCCGTATGTTCAATAATACAAAAACACAGTTGGTGAGCAGTCACTAAAGGGCTCTTAAAGAGTTTAATCAAAGTAAAACAATAGAACTCCAGGCTGTTTAATTGTGAAAATAAGAGCATTTCCACACGTATAATGCAAAGGGAACTCAAAGGATTGGAACTGAACAGCCTTAAACCACTGATCAGAGAGGCTAACCTGGAAAAAAGCTTCAGTTTTCCAGGGAGCTTTAAGATTTTATTCTGGAGCAATGGAAGAAGGTCGTGGCATACATGACAACCTCTTCGGACATTTACTTATTTTATTTATTTTATTTCAGAAAAACTGTAAAATCTGGTCAGTCACATCATCTTTTTATAAAGAAGAAAGATGTGGGTTTTTTCTGTCTACACTGTACAATTGAGCAGACTGTATTTTATACATTAGGAAGGAAATGAAAATAATTTGAAGTGCATTGTGTCACAGATGAAAGTGAACATACCTCAGAGTTCCTACATTGTATTCATAGTTCAAAGTCACCGGGTAATAAGTACATCTGTTAACACTACGTGTCGGTCGGTAGGCAGAATACTTCAGAAGACCTCCTCATCCTACCACTGACCCACAACGTCCCGAGTTGAGGTCAGCAGTGCACCATCCCCACCATAAACAGTGTTGGTGGTGAACCGCTTCCCCCCCGAGACACCGGATGGTGGACCAGAATCACCTCGAAGCCGTACAGAAATATTTTTCCATGTCCTCTCCGAACTCGTCCCATGCCCGAGTTTTTGCCTCAGCGACCACCTGAGCTGCAATCCGCTTGGACTGTCGATACCGATCAGCTGCTTCTGGAGTCCCACACACCAAAAAGACCTGATAGGACTCCTTCAGCCCCTCACCGCCGGTGTCTACCAGCAGGTTCGAGGGTTTCCAACAGGCACTGACAACCTTACAGCCACAGCTCAGGTAAGCCACCTCGACAATGGAGGCATGGAACATGGACCACTCAGACTCAATGTCCCCCACCTCCCCTGGAACGTGTTTGAAGTTCCCCCGGAGGTGTGAGTTSAAGCTCCGTCTGACAGGAGACTCTGACAGACGTTCCCAGCAGACCCTCACTATACGTTTGGGTCTGCCAGGTCTGACCACCATCCTCCCCCACCAACGGAGCCATCTCACCACCAGGTAGTGGTCATTTGACAGCTCCRCCCCTCTCTTCACCTGAGTGTCCAAAACATGCAGCCGCAGATCAGATGAAACAACAACAAAGTCAATCATCAAACTGCAGCCTAGGGTGTCCTGGTACCAAGAGCACATATGGACACCCTTATGTTTGAACATGATGTTCGTTATGGACAATCCATGACGAGCACAGAAGTCCAACAACAAAACACTGCTCAGGTTCAGATCGGGGGGCCGTTCATCCCAACCACGCCTCTCCAGGTCTCACTGTCATTGCCCACTGAGCGTTGAAATCCCCCARCAGAACAAGGGAGTCCCTGTTAGGAGTGCTCTCCATCACCCCCTCCAATGACTCTAGAAAGGGTGGGTAATCTGAACTGCTGTTAGGCTCATAGGCACAAACAACTGTCAGGACACGTACCCCCACCCGTAGGCAGAGGGAGGCTACCCTCTCGTTCACCGGGGTGAACCCAAACGTACAGGCACCGAGATGGGGGGCAATAAGTATGCCCACTCCTGCTCAGTGCCTCTCAGCATGGGAAACTCCAGAGTGTAAGAGAGTCCAACCCCTCTGGAGGAGACTGGTTCCAGAGCCAGAGCGGTGCGTCGAGGTGAGTCCAACTATATCTAGTCAGAACCTCTCAACCTCACACACCAGCTCAGGCTCCTTCCCCACCAGAGAGGTGACATTCCACGTCCCTAGAGCCAGCTTCTGTAGTCGAGGATCGGACCGCCAAGGTCCCCGCCTTCGACCACTGTCCAACACACAACCTGACCCCTACGGCCCCTCCTACAGGTGTTGAGGCCATGGGAAGGGGGACCCACGTCTCCTCTCCGGCCTGTACCCTACTGGGATCCATGGGTGAAAGCCCGGCCACCAGGTGCTCGCCAACGTCCCACTGGGAGGAGACCCAGAGGAGCTGGTCCATGTGTCTGGAGAGAGGGAAGTCTGGGTCTCTGCTGAGGCTGCTGCCCCCGAGACCTGACCCTGGATAAGAGGATGAAGATGGACAGACGGACGGTAAAAATTAGATAAATGTAAGAACAGTGAGCAATTTTAATTGCCCCTGACAGCATAGCTCCTAGGATCATTCAACTCCTCCACCACATAAGGTGACGATTSAACATATTTTTTAACATTTCATTTTACGCTTGGCACCCCATATTTATGCACAGATCATTTCACATTTAATTAAAGATCCACCTGTGATAAAATTAACAGGTTATGTGGTTTCTAAAGGGTCTCCAAAGCAAAGGACCTGGATGCATGCACCTTTTATTTACAGTGGTTTGCAAAAGTATTCATACCCCTTGAACTTTTCCATATTTTGTCACATTACAACCACAAACATAAATATATTTCACTGGAATTTAATGTGAAAGACCAACACAAAGTGGTATACAATTGTGAAGTGGAAGCAAAATTTTACATGAATCAAAACATTTTTTACAAATAAAAAACTGAAAAGTGCGATGTGCAAAATTATTCAGCCCCCCTGAGTCAATACTTTGTGGAGCCACCTTTTGCTGCAATTACAGCTGCAAGTCTTTTAGGGTATGTCTCCACCAGCTTTGCACATCTAGTGACTGCAATTCTTGCCCATTCCTCCTTGCAAAACAGCTCAAGCTCAGTCAGATTGGATGGAGAGCGTTTGTGAACAGCAGTTTTGAGATCTTGCCACAAATTCTCAATTGGKTTTAGGTCTGGACTTTGACTGGGCCATTCTAACACATGAATATTCTTTTTTTTAAACCACTCCATTGTAGCTTTGGCTTTATGTTTAGGGTCGTTGTCCTGCTGGAAGGTGAACCTCCGCCCCAGTCTCAAATCTTTTGCTGACTCCAACAGGTTTTCTTCCAAGATTGCCCTGTATTTGGCTCCATCCATCTTCCCATCAACTTTGACCAACTTCCCGGTCCCTGCTGAAGAGAAGCACCCCCAGAGCATGATGCTGCCACCACCATATTTGACAGTGGGGATGGTGTTTTCAGAGTGATGTGCAGTGTTCTTTCTCCGCCACACATAGCGTTTTGCATTGTGGCCAAAAAGTTCAATTTTGGTCTCGTCTGACCAAAGCACCTTCTTCCACATGTTTGCTGTGTCCTCAACATGGCTTCTGGCAAACTGCAAACGGGACTTCTTATGGTTTTCTTTTAACAATGGCTTTCTCCTTGCCACTCTTCCATAAAGACCACATTTGTGTAGTGCACGACTAATTGTTGTCCTGTGGACAGTTTCCCCCACCTGAGCTGTGGCTCTCTGCATTTCATCCAGAGTCACCATGGGCCTCTTGGCTGCCTCTCTGATCAGTGATCTCCTTGTTCGGCCTGTAAGTTTAGGTGGACGGCCTTGTCTTGGCAGGTTTACTGTGGTGCCATACTCTTTCCATTTCCGGATGATGGATTGAACAGTGCTCCGTGAGATGTTCAAAGCTTGGGAAATCTTTTTATAAGCTAAGCCTGCTTTAAACTTCTCCAAAACCATATTCCTAACCTGTCTGGTGTGTTCTTTGGACTTCATGATGCTGTTTGCTCCCCAATATTCTCTTAACCAACATCTGAGGCCGTCACGGAGCAGCTGTATTTGTACTGAGATTAGATTACACACAGGTGGACCCTTTTGAGTCATTAGCAGTCATCAGGCAACTTCTGAATGCAATTGGTTGCACTCAGGGAAAAGGGGGCTGAATACTTTTGCACGTCGCACTTTTCAGTTTTTTATTTGTAAAAAATGTTTTGATTCATGTAAAATTTTGCTTCCACTTCACAATTGTATACCACTTTGTGTTGGTCTTTCACATTAAATTCCAGTGAAATATATTTATGTTTGTGGTTGTAATGTGACAAAATATGGAAAAGTTCAAGGGGTATGAATACTTTTGCAAACCACTGTATTTAAAAATACTTAAACAATGTTTCCCCCCATTTATTTTCATTAATCTCAAATATTTTTATAGAAATATTGCTTTTTATSTAATTAAAAATTCACATAAGTTCCAGGTTGTAAGGCAGTCTAACACAAATATTCCCAATAGRGGTGAATGTTTTTGCAATCCTTTGTATTCGTAAAATCAACTCGAGTCAGGATTTATCGGAGCATTTAAGAGGAAAGCCATCTGCAGGCCGAATGCATGTCACTGTTSTGGATGTGGACTCTGAGCCGTTACTATCTTTATAATCCGCTGCCTGAACACTCTGACACATGCAGTAAATTAATCTGATATCCTTGACACTAAAGCAGCACTCTCCATCCTCTTTGCTAGAAAGCCCCCCAGCCTCAGCCTTTACCTCAGATGCCTTGTTATTTCACTGCTGGGGTAACAAATGGAGAGGAAAGCACAGAGATCATACCTGCCAAGAGCTGGAGGCTGCTGCTGCTCTGAGTGCTATAATCTAAAGAAGAGCTTTTACTGGCTGGGAAATATTGACCAGCTCCAGATTTAGGAACTGACTGCTACAGCTCCCTCCCTCCTGCTTTCATCCACTCTGTGGTGCCGTCAGTCTGCCTCCGGCTGATGTGCTTATTGGCAGCTGCATCATTCCACGCTGATGAATTATTGGGATTTTTCTACTCTTCCTGTYTGGTATTGAAGCTGCGCCTGTAGCACCTCTGGGCTAATTCTCATTGACCCACTGTATACAGCATTTTTGATTTGATTTGACCCCACCTCCCAGGGTGAGGGGTTTCTAGTCAGGATGTTCTCCTCTTCATCCAGAAACTCTCTGCTGTCGCCGTGGTCATCCATGGAGCAGTCGGACTCGGAGGTTCTGGACATCAGCACTAAAGTGCAGCTGCACGGTGTGCTGTGGAAGAGACCTTTTGGACGGCCATCAGCCAAGTGGTCCCGCAGGTGAGGAGGGGGTACGCCCTTTGATTTGGCTCGATCTGTGTTTGTGCTTTACATCAAAACAGTTCAAACTTTTCTGCATGGATCTAAAAACAGATTTATTTGATCAAGGGAATGTTTTCTTCCAACAATTTCACACATGTAGGGCTGCGCTGATAATCAACACAATAACATGGGAGATGGCACTAATCCACTGATCMGATCTACCTCTGCAAAGGTCGTAAGATCAACCGCTGTCCACTTTTACTCGCTGTGAGCACTGTCATGTCCAGTTAAAACAAGTTTGTTCTGCGTCAAAGGAAGTGTTCAGTGTTTTTCAGGAAAATAAGAGCAGAACATTGAACGTGTAACAACACCTGACAGTGTCAGTTATTTAAAAAAATCTGTATCTGCAAGTCAGGCTTTTGAAAGATCATAATCATCCAGAAAACTGCAACCGGTGCGCCCCTACTGACGTTTATATCTACAGTAATATGTTTTTCAAAAATACTTCAAAATACTCTTCATTTGATCATARTCTTCAATCATTGGTATTCATTTTCTTAAAAGTGAACATGGGTAAGAGAGTAACAGACTCAGCTTGTTGAAGGTGAAATGTCTGCTGGGAAAACCTGCGAAGGACATTCTTTGAATGAATGCACGTCACCCACCGTTTTTCATGCCACAGTTTGAAATTAAAGTCATTTTTTGCAGAAATGTCAGAATTGTTGCTGCATTGGTTCAAGCTAGTAAACAACAGTGGATGCAGTAATGTGGGATAAAGCTATAGATCTATGATGTTAGAGAATGGGTTGTAAAWGACTCTCAGTTACCAGCTACAACATAATATTTTGGCTGAATTTCTGTAAAAAGTCGCTGAAACCAGTTTTGTGTTAGCCTGGCCTTTACCTTCCCACACAGCTCCACTCAGTTCTAGTTTCCTTCTCTGCTCCGTCTGGGACTTCTCCCATTCAGATGATTTCACTGGCAGGTTTTTAACTGAACCAATCAGAGAACAGAACATTGATTTTCTGCACAGTGTCTGCTAGTAATTTTAGCATACAGCAGTGGAGGAAGTGAATGAAGCC